TTTACAAATAGCTAGAGGAAAAGGTCTCTAAATTTGTAATTTAAGTGAACAGATCCTACTCCATCTGTCTTCTGATAACCTGTTTTATTGGGTGATTATCCAAACATCTGAAGTTGGTTAATAGCATCTGTGAAAACGTATCAGGATCTGGAATGAAACGATTTCATAATTATCTTTTATAAAAAGGTGAGCCCTTTAAATCTTAAAGACTAATTGAAATTCTAATTTGTGAGCACGAATCTTGTTACCACAAGTAATTAGAAAAAAAAAACACGAAAACATTCATAATTTCATGTAATATAATGTACTGCAAAGTTTATTAGAATGTTCGTTATATGTACTCATTAAATAATAGTAGCAATAAGTTATAGAACGATATGGAAATTCTATCTAATTCTTTACAGCTGAGTATTTAATAGCTTCGAAGAGTGATTATAAGCTGCAAGGCAGTTTCTGAATAAAAGCACCATAATTACGACAACAAACATAAAACCCCAGATTCTATCAATGTTTGTTAACTAAAGCTTCATTCAAAGTCGTCCACATTTGCACGTATACCAAACAATTCTAATCTCATGTTGTAACGAATACTTAGACAGAGAATTTGATATCACCTTCTTTCGAGAATTATTGTTTCTCTTAAAGAAATTAGAGTTACTGAAGAATTTTTATCGAAATTCTTTTAGATAATGATAATAAGCTAAAAAAATAACCCATTTACTAAATAAAAGAGTCTTATTACAGAAGCAGTCTAACCATTTTAATATTGTCATTGAATTCCAATGATGCGAAAGTGTATCATCTTACCCCCAACATCAAAACAAAATAACATGTTTCTAATTTCACATACCTAATATATACCACAGTTCGAAGTTTATTGAATAACTGAGAAAATAACTGTGGTGATGTGTGAGACCACAGTTTGTTTTGCTCACTATAAAACTGCTCTAATTTAACGCAGAGGGTTTTTTCAAAGGGTCTCCAATAGAACAAAATGTCTCCAAGCGCAACAGAAAATAATTCAGGTGACAAATTTTATCAAAATCTTGAAGAATTGGCAACTTTGAAACCTGTTAGTAAAAGCATACTATTAGATAGAGAAGAGTATCAACTCAAATGGTTAAAATATTTGCCAGCACCCGCAAGAACTAGGTTTGAAAAGGCTGGTATTGAGTTATCCAAAGGATATCCTGTAATTCCTGATCCAAAGAGTATTCCACGGTTTATTAATGAAGCATATGAGATAAGAAACGAGGTCTTTCCTTACATAGAACGTGCGATAAAAGCTGATCCACATAAAAGGGCTCTTCTAAGCGCTGCTAAGGAAGTACAGCATCTAACAAAGCACTTAGGTACTGAAATTATTGGGTTGCAATTGGCAGATTTAGATGATAATCAAAGAGATGAATTAGCTTTGTTGGTGGCTGAAAGGGTTGTTGTTTTTTTTAGAGGTCAGGATTTATCGCCTCAGAAACAATTAGAATTGGGTAAATACTGGGGACAAATTGAAAGACATCCTCAAGCGCGTTATGTCCCACTTCCAGATCAATCCTACGACGACAAATTACAAGGTAGTGGGATTACAGTTATCTGGAGAAAGTTTCTTAATGATTTGAATGATCGCAAACAAGACTTTAGGAAGGAAATAAAAAATACTGTTTTTCATACGGACTTAGTACATGAAAAACAGCCTGCCGGTATTACTCATTTACATAATGATACTATACCAGAAAATGGTGGAGATACAATTTGGAGTTCTGGTTATGCTGCATACGATAAGTTGTCATTAGCATTTCAAACATTTTTGGACGGTAAAACAGCAATTTATCGGTCAGCTCACCCATACTTGGATCGAGATGACCCATTGAAAGGTCCAGTCTACATTGAGCGTGAACATCCAATAATTAGGACCCATCCAGCTACAGGTTGGAAATCACTTTTTGTTAATAGGGCGATGACAACAAAAATTGTTGGGCTAGAGCCCACTGAGTCTCGGATTGTTTTAGAGTATTTGTTTGGTATATTCGAAAAAAATTTAGATATACAGGTACGTTTTCGTTGGCAGCCTTCAAAAGAGGGTTTTGGAACTTCAGCTATTTGGGATAATCGTATTTCACAACACTATGCAGTAGGTGACTATGACCAAGATAATGACGATAGACATGGAACCCGGGTAAGTTCCTTAGCAGAAGTACCTTACTTCGACCCTTCTTCTATCTCTCAAAGAGAGTCATTAGGTATTTAATTTTTCTAATATTTAATATAGATCAAATGATGTAAATGATACAATAAGATAGAGAAATTTGTTAATAGGGGAGCTTTTAAGATCGTCACATTTGAATTAAAACAAAGCTAGATCATTTTAAGCGTCATACACAGCTTACACAATATACACAGATTGCACAGATTACACAGATCACGCAGTTTACACAGCTTGTATTTTTTCATTCTTTTTTTGCTCCATATAAGTATCAGCTCAGTTTAATAGCTTGCTCCATATTTTCCCTGTCCTCACCAAGCAAAAGTGAAATATTTGATCGATAGAAATGAGATAATATCAATGGGTACGATAAAATTCAGCAGCTAGGCAAAACAGGTTATAAATTTAAGATATATAGTTACAG